GCCGCTCCCCCCCCTGGCCAGCTCCGCTCCCCCGCCCCCTCCCAACCAGCCCCGCTCCGCCTAACCCCTCCCCCCAACCAGCCCTGCTTCCCACCAGCTGCCCTCCCCCGATCTCTCCCAGCCAGTCCCGCTGCCCCCGCCAGCCCTGCTTCCTGTTCCACCCCGCTCCCCTTCTGGCCGGTCCCTCCCCCCCTGCATCAAGTGTGCCCGGTATTTTTTCTGAAGCTACCTGGTAACCCTAGCCCTCACTGGCTGACCCCACACGTGGTGCCTGTGAAGTCAAGTGGACAGGGCATCCTGCTTGGTGTTCCCCATCCAATACTTGAGGGGGAGATAAATCGTAGACCAGGGATATTCAATAGGTGGGACACAGGCCAAATCTAGACCCTTCGGTGGGTTTTGAACTGACTCTGAAATCTTTTTTATTTGTCCATTTTGTGGTTATTTTTTCCGGAGTCTGGACCTTGACGCAGAAGTGTGGACATTGACAAAATACAATAGACAACCCAGCCTTAGACAAAGAGGACGTTCTGGCTTAAAATCTGGAGAAATGGCCTACCTGCCAGGTCCTGGTCTCCAGCTGGGAGGTCACAAAGTTGAGGATTGCCACAAGGGTTCCCAACTTTCCAATTTCTAACAACTGAACGGCCCTGCTCTGCCCCCTCCCCTGGAAGTCCTGCTAGGGTTGCCCACTCTGGCAAAAGCTACTGGGAAGCTTTTTTCCCCTCCAACGTGAAGTAATGTCATTTTCTTAAAATTAAATTCCCCTGGAGATTGATGCCAATTCTGAGAGACACTGGGCTAATTATGGAAAGGTGGCAACTCTAGGCCATTCCCCCAAAGTCCTGCCCTCTCCTCTCCACCCCTGCCCCATGACCAGCCCACAGGGACTGCGTCAGTCTCCCTGGCCCACAAGTTACTGTAGGCAGCGGAGGAGAGGCTCTCCACGTAAACCACTCTCTCAAGTCACACAAGTCTGTGGAAGAGCTGGGACTAGAACCCAGGAACCCTGCCCACATCCAGGGAGAGAACCCGGGAGTCCTGACTCCCAGCTCCTCCTGGCCTCCAGCACTGAGGCAAGGGCTGGTCCCAAACACGCCCAGGCATTCCCTGCCTGTCCAGGGGCGTGGAACTAGGGGCAGGGGGCTGCTTATCTCTTTCTGGAGAACTTGCCTCTTTGCCTGTAACCAGTCCCCCCAAGCAGCCGTGACCTGCTCACCCGGTCTGGCTCCAGAAAACAAAGCAGACTGGCAGGCCCGGCCAAAGGGTTTGCAGGGCCCAAGGCAGGACACTGGGAGCAGGGCCCTGGGCCCAGCCAGGGGATGGTGAATACTCAGCAGAGCGGGGCCCCGAAAGTGCGGGGCCCAAGGCCTTTCCCTTGCTCACCTTGCCCTAGGGCCAGGCCCATATATTGGTTCTGGAGTCTCCCCACTTCTTCAAAGGGGTTTAACGAGCCTCCACTCCGGATTCCTCCTCACCCCATGGCGAGGGGCTCTCGGGGCCCTAGTTCCCAGGCTACCTTGGCTGCAGCTGGGGGAGGCTGGCTGCAAAGCGCTGGCACCTATCAACTTCGGCGAGCAGGCACCTGAGTTCCCAGGGAATGGCCCCGAGGGACGGCTCGGTTCCTACCTAGGTGGTGATCACACGATGCGCAGAGCCAGGATTGGCAGAAGGCGACCCTGTACGGTGCACTGAGCTCAGGTCCCTTTGCAGTGGGCTGCGGGTGAGTGGAGCAAGGCCAGAGATTGCTCTCCAAATACCCCCTCCCCAACCTGACATCCACCCCCCGGAGCTAGCAGGCTGCCATCTCCCTTCCCACAGCCTTTCTACCATGCTCAGAGCTTGCCCTCTCCTCACCCGCTGTGGCCAGTGAATCTGCGGGCGCTCCCCTTCCTCAGCCCCCTACTCAGCCTGCGCTCCCGCCACAGGGAGTAAGACGTCCCCTGTGGCCACCACTGAAGTCTCCCTCAGGAATCTTCCTGGCAGGATTAGGATATTTGGATAACCGGACTTTCAGTGTCCATTCAGCACAGACTCTGCCATGTCCTCTTTTAACCAGATACCTGGAAACCCTACTTCCAACCAGCACTGGCAATGGGCAGCTGTGAAAAACTGACCCAGCTGACATCTAAGAGTCTTGCTCAAGGTCACGCCAGGAGAGCCAGGCAAGTAGGCCACAGCCCCTGAATTCCAGTCCAAGGATCTAACCACCAGGCTGCTCTACCTCTCACTGTTTTGGGGGGAGGACTGAAAGGAGGAGCGAAGCTGCTTTGGCAGTTCTAAGTGGCTAGCTTAGTCACATGGAGGTTCTGTAACACACACACAGGGGCTGTGTCTAGACTGGCCAGTTTTTCCGGAAAAACTTGCCAGCTGTCTACACTGGTCGCTTGAATTTCCGCAAAAGCACTGTCTGAAATCAGTGCTTCTTGCGGAAATACTATTCTGTTCCCGTTCAGGCAAAAGTCCCTTTTGTGCAAAGCTTTTGCACAAAAGGGCCACTGTAGACAGCTCAGATTTGTTTTCCGCAAAAAAGCCCCGATCGCGAAAATGGTGATCGGGGCTTTTTTGCGGAAAAGCGCGTCTAGATGGGCACGGACTCTTTTCCGTAAGAAGTGCTTTTGCAGAAAAGCGTCCGTGCCAATCTAGACGCTCTTTTCCGCAAATGCTTTTAACGGAAAACTTTTCCATTAAAAGCATTTCCGGAAAATCATTCCAGTCTAGACACGGCCCTAGTGTGGTTCACTGTCCCATGTAGTGGCACGTAGACCACTTACAGCGAGAGATAAGAAGGGAGCTCTACAGCCTAAGCTGAGCACCCGCTGGCTTTGTACCTCAAGCTGTAGAGGCGCCTACACTAAGCCCCAGAGATCCCATGTTCAAATGTGCCCCGTGGCGAATATACTTCCACCTGACTCCTATAAAAAATGTTCATTTAAAAAATATTTGGATTTTAAAAATTAAAATGGCCATTTAAAAAAATGACAACAGCTTCCCCTTCCCTCCCCAAATCCCCATACAGATCAGACCAGTGGTCCATCCAGTCCAAAAACATCAGAGGATATCCCATAATGGAATCATTTGGT